AATGATTTGTTAATTTTCATGCGTAGGATAACGAAATCAGTGGATGAAATTAATCTTATAATGAAAAGAACTGTTTTGCAAAGTTATAAAAAGTTAAAAACCTAATTGCTCATTTATAGGATAAGGGAGACTTAAATTCAAAGATACCTTAAAGGTGGAGGACTCAAAATAATTACTTTCCGTTTATTTTTCCACGACAACAAGAAAGTAATTAACTAGCCGTAGGAGAAAATGATAACGAGCTTCTCGCTGCTCCCTCCGACCAAATTCCCGCCGTCTTCTCTGAAATCCTCAAACCTTTCCCGGAGAAATTCTCAATCATCGTCATCCCCACTGTCAACCAAGCCCCCCGGAAAGTTTAAACCCCTCAATGATCGTCTGCACAAACACCTCAATTCCGGTCACCTCCACAAAGCGATCTCTACCCTGGATCTCATGGTCCAGCAGGGCACCCACCCCGACCTCCTCACTTACTCTCTTCTCCTCAAGGCCTGCATCAGGTCACAGGACCTCCACCATGGCAAGCTCGTTCATAAATACTTGACAATGTCTGAACTCGAGCTTGACTCCGTCCTTTTTAACATGCTAATTAGCTTGTACATGAAATGTGGTGAATGGACTAAAGCTCGGATGATATTCCAAAGTATGGGAGATAAGAGAGATGTGGTCTCCTGGAGTGCGATGATTTCATGTTTTGCTAATAATAATATGGAATTTGAAGCGATTTCGACATTTATTGATATGATCAAAAATGGGTTTTCCCCTAATGAGTACTGCTTTACAGTGGTGATTCGGACTTGTTCAAAGGCAGAAAATTTTTCTATAGGAGAAGTGATTTTTGGGTTATTGATAAAGAGTGGGTATTTCGATTCTGATGTGAATGTTGGTTGTGCTTTAATTGATATGCTAGTGAAGGGAAGTGGCGATTTGGAATCTGCATATAAGGTGTTCGATAGGATGTCTGTGAGAAATGTGATCACTTGGACTTTGATGATAACTAGAAGTACACAGTTGGGGTACCCAAATGGTGCTATTGATCTGTTCTTAGATATGGTTTTAAGTGGCTACATGCCTGATCGCTTTACTCTAAGCAGTGTCATGTCAGCTTGTTCCGAGTTAGAATTGTTCTCCCTAGGGCAACAATTGCATTCTTTGGTTATAAGGTCAGGTTTGGCTTCGGATGTCTGTGTTGGTTGTAGTTTGGTAGACATGTACGTTAAGTGTGTAGCAGATGGCTCGATTGATGATTCTAGACGAGTGTTT